AGCTGTTGGAGAGATTCATTTGCTTCCTTTTGTGTCTAATTACTCTAGACCTTGATGAGTCATCTAGAACACAGGAACATGATACAGAGTCAAACTATTGTGTCATTTAACAAAGCATGAACAAATATAAGCAGTTTTCTACAATTTCAGACAAGACTGTTTTGTAAACCTACCCAGAGGTCCAAAATTGAAAGCGTATACTTTAACACTGAACCGTTCTCCAGAATGAGCACATCATTTGTCTCTGTTATTTATCTGTTTCAGAAATTGCCCACCAACCTGTTTGAACCATAATCGTTTTTTAAAAGGATCCATTCTTCTGCTTGATTTAATTCAGCAGAAGCAAATGCAGTTCAGATTTATCATTATGGCTCAGCAAGGCAGAGGTTCTTTACCACTTTCAGTGTTGATGTTCCAGAGCTTTATCACATGTGAATACATGCATGAACACACCTCCATTTTGTTTTGGTTTGGGCCTGGAATGCTGCATTGTAAATGTCTGCTTGATATTACAAGCCACCCTCAACTACCAGATTAAAGGCATGTCTAAGCAAGTATGATACATAACACATAAGTGCATTCAATGGCACTGCAAGGTATTATGACAAAGCAAAAAGCATTTCTGAAATAACATACGATAATTGTCTCTACGTCAGCATTTCCTACAATTAGAATAAACAGAGAAGACATAAGGTTCACAAAATGAGCAATAATGGTATTTCAAATGAACAGACCAATGAATGCTTTCAGTTTTGTCACCATTTTCTATTTTACACTTCACTTTTCTTTATATAAATCCATTTATTTGAAGGGAACCAGAATAAAGACTCTTCAGGCTGCAGTTTGACATCCAGTTATGGTTGTGCTACTTCCACTAGCTTAAATTTCTGTGAAATCACAGAGAAACAAATTTAAGGCAGAAGAGGAACTTCAATGGAATGTTATCTGCTGTCATCCAAATACAAGTTGAGTATCCCTTATCCAAAATGCTGGGAACCAGAAGTATTTTGGATATTTTTTCCAGATTTTGAAATACCTGTATTTGAATATATATTTATAATGAAGTATCTTGGAGATGGTGGGGCCCAAGTCTAAACCAAATTCATTTGTGATTCATGTATACATTAAACATATAGCCCAAAAGTAATTTTATACATAATATAAATATCAGAAAGCAAAAGTGTCACTGTCTATCATCTACATAGACAATTTCAGATTTCAGAGTATTTCAGATTTTGGAATTTTGGATAAGTGATGCTCAATCTTTATTTAATTTTAGCCAGCCTTCGGTTAGGGTAGTCTTTCAGAGTAGAAAGAAGGCATTGCAATAATAATACTTCTTAAAAGGGTCCCCCAATAGCTGTTCTAGATTGTTTCCTTAATACCAAAGCAACATTCTTATACAAACAAGAAAAAAACCCCATCAAAATCTAAAACTATTTCTAAAAAGTACAGGCATGTATCAAATTCAAACTGGACTGAGGTGATCCAATTAGATCTGACATGCATCTGATCTGAAGTAATCATCCATATCAAATCTGTGTTCTTCAGAAGCTATTGAAAGAATGGACGAGTGTTTAGCAGACAAAACAGCATGTCTACCAACGTTTTTACATGTTTTCCACAAGTTTGACATATAGAGAAAGTTCAGGGTGGAAGGAGAGTGAGGGAAAGTTAGTAGGGCGCAGTTTTGTGACAAGATTCTAAAGAATGAATTTTTTTAACAGATGATCTTACCTCTAATCACAATATTTTGGGGGGACGTATGTAGAAAAAAACTTATCAGAATCTGTGTCTGTATTTTCATTGGGTTTTTTTATGATTGTGTTTGTGGCAACTGATTCAGCAAGAATACTGACAACCTTTAGGAATGGCATGTGAGATGACTGTAGCAACACCTGCCTGTTACATGGGGAGCTAGTACTGACACCAACTCCCCAGGAATTGTGAAATTCTGCTGACTGATCAATCTATGATTACTAATAAATGATCCAGAACAATTGCAGCAGTAAAAACTATCTCACCTGCAACACATCCCAAGCCTGCTGTTTTATGCAGGTGGAAAGAATCTAGTTGCTTTTTGTAAAGGGGAGGCAGTGGAAGGTCCTGCCCTGGAGTTGAAAAGAAGCTGCTCCTTTAAAACATCAGCAAGATTCAAGGACGCTGAATCAAAGTAAGCACGGAGACAATGTGGAGTAATTGGAAGGAGGGGGGGGGAGTGAAGATAAAAGGGAGAGTGGGAGAGGAAGAGGAGGCTCCGTTGGACTTGAGTTGTTGGCGTGCTTGAAATAAAGGAGTTGTTCAGAGAACTTCAAACGGCTGCCGGAGACTTGTTTATCGTAAGCAAACCAACAAAATGGGGGAACATGCTTATGATGTTCCCCTGCCTATGGGGGATGCTGTACCTTTTCATGTTTTTCTTCTCCCTTTTACAGGAATCTGACAAAAAGGATGTTTTGCTAACTAGCATGGAAGAGGTACAGAATAAAATTGCTTACAGAAGCTTCCACCTAAACAAATGGAATGAAGTTGTGATAAAAAAAAATCAACTTCCTTCCTCTAATAATAATAATGATAAACGTGTAACATATTTTTTTCAGATCTTAGCTGGGTCTCAGCCCCAGTCCAATACCAAACATTCCTGGCAGGATTAATCCACCCGCCCTCATTCCATAGGCAATGCCCATCCAAAGAAGACAATGGCCCCACACTCCTTATGTTAGGAATTTTGAGAGTTGAAGTCCAAAACACCTGGAGGGCTGAAGTTTGCCCATGCCTGTTCTACACTGTAGAATTAATGCAATTTGACACACTTTAACTGCCATGGCTGCCGGCTATGAAATCAAGGCTGTTGTAATTTTACAAGTTTTTTTAGCCTTCTCTGCCAAAGAGAGCTGGTGCAACTCCTTGGACTCTATAACAACAACAACAACCACCACCACCACCACCACCACCTTTATTTATACCCTGCCCAATGGGGACTTGTGCTAGCTGACATGAGGCCAAGCCCAAAAAATACAATACAACACAATAAAATACAGAATGCAAAAAAACAAAACAAAACTTACATCAGAAAATAATTACAGTAGCAACACAAAACAATAAAGCAAATTAACACCATGTAAAAGTCAAATTGGAAGTGCAGGTCAGATAGACAAGATAAAATGATAATATGATAAAAAAAAACCCTGGGTGAGGTAGGAATAGAAAATGTGTAACTAAGGGGAGCCCAGTAAGGATAAAACAGTGGGGTAAGGCTTTCAGTCTAGAGCAGGGGAAAATGCAACATAGGGGCAACACTATAAATGGGGCAAAGAGAAGTGGAATAAATGGTCACTCTCTGAAGGCACATCAGAAAAACCAGGTTTTCAAGTTTTTCTTGAAGTCTTCTAAGGAGATGGCTTGCCTAATCTCACCAGGTAGTGAGTTCCAAAGACGGGGAGCCACAGCGGAGAAGGCTTTCTCCCTCATTCCCACAAGTCTTGCCTGTGATAAAGGGAGTACTAAACCATAGCAGTTAAAGTGGGATTAAACAGCATTATTTCAACAGTGTGGATCAATCAACCCCATTCTTTGACCATCCAACTCCCAGGGCATTTCCAGACAGGCTCTTTATCCCAGGATCTCTGCTTTGAACTGGATTATATGAGTCAGGCCCGTAGCCAAGATTTCGTTTCGGGTGGGGGGGGGGTGAATTTTTCAGGGGGGGTTCAGGGGGGCTGAGTTTTGGGGGGGTGAGTCTGAGTGAAAGAGGGTCTAGCCTAGCAAACCTTTTGTATCATTACCCCAATACCCCCATGCATATGGGATATATTGAGTATGGTGATCAGATCATGATATGAATAAACATAACAGTTTAAATAATGCACCAGTAAGGCCTTTTCGCGAACCACCATGAGAATTTCGGGGGGGGGGGGTGAAGCCCCTCAAGCCCCCCCCCCCCCCCGGCTACATGCCTGATATGAGTCCCAACTGCCAGATAATCTGGGACCCTTCCACACAGTTGAATATAATCCCACATTTTCTGCTTTATTTATTTACTAGCTGTCCCCTGCCACACATTGCTGTACCCCAATCTGTATATATGTGTTTTGTGTGTGTATATATTTGTGTATATGTGGTTTTGCGCATGCATTGTAATGTATTTTTTTGGGGGGGGGTTGCTTTTTAAGTCCCTTCCAGTGTTTTTATGAGTGGTGGTCACTTGTTGGCCTGATAGGTGTATTGTGTTCAAATTTGGTGTCAATTTGTCAGTGGTTTTTAAGTTATGTTAATCCCACAAACGAACATTACCTTTTTATTTATATAGATTTATTTATTATTTTCTGCTTTGAACTGGACTATATGACAGTGTGGACTCAGATAACCCAGTTCAAAGCAGATACTGTGGGATTTTTTTGCCTTGATATTCTGGGTTATATGGCTGTGTGGAAGGGCTGTGAGATAAACAGATCTTGGATAGAGAGCCTGTCTGGAAGCCACAGCCAGTTTGGCTAAGGGTCAGTCATATCTTTGTAAACAGGGGCTGGATGGCCATCTGTAAGGGGTGCTTTGAATGCAATATTCCTGCTTCTAGGCAGGGGGTTGGACTGGATGGCCCAAGAGGTCTCTTCCAACTCTGTGATTCTAAGCACAAAGCATGGGGAAGAACACTGGTATGGCTGCACCCAAACCTACAGCCAGATCTAGTCAAGACGGAACATACCATTCGTATAAAAGGGTTGAATTTCTTCATTTTCTTTGATTCGGATCCTATTAAAAACAGGGCTGGGCTAAACCAAGAATAGGTGTGAGGCCTAATGAGTAGACTCAACGTGGAAGGAACGGGAGGAACGAGAGGGGGGGTGTTGAAAAGATTGCTCTTTGTTTCAACTCCTCCCCCTGCGAAGGACGAAACCATCGTGCCCTGTTGCCATGGCTACCGCGCGGCATCCTCTCCCGCCTCTCCGCGGCCCGGCTGGTCCAATGGGAGAAGCGGAGGGAGGGAGAGGCGGAGGAGGGGCGTGTCCTTGCCGGAAAGGGCGTGTCCTCACCCGCCGGAAGTGCCTGCCTGCAGGAGCCGCAGGGTGTGTATATGTGCTGGAGGAGCCACGGTTGGGAAGCCGGAGTCGTCTTCACTCGCCCCTCTGCCTTACCAGGACCCGCTTGAGGTGAGTGAAAGGCCTCCCCCATGAAAGGCCCTTCCGCCGATTGCTTCCCTTTCTTCCCTCCCTCCTCCTCTTCTGTGGGCTTCTGGGGAAGGCCTTCCTTTTCTCGTTGCTCTGAAGGCGCTTGCCTAACGGGCCTAAGCCGGCGGCACCGCCTTTGTCGCGAGGTGTTTCCCGGCTTGGCCTCCTTCCTTCCTTCTTCCCTCTCTCGCTCCCGCTCTCCGTCCTCGCCTTGGATGCCAGCCTGGAAGCGGCCCCGCCCTGCCTCTGGGTGAGTCACCTTCTTCCGCCCAGGGCCGGGCGCTCACCTGGGAGGAGGAGGCGGAGGAGGAGGAGGGGAGGAAGGAAGGAAACCGAGCCCTTCAGGCCACGCGCTGCTTCAGGCCGAGAAAGAAGAAGAAGAAGAAGAGAAAGGCCCTTCCTTCCTACCTACCTGAGGGGCATGATCTGCACCATCCAATGGACACAGCCTGGCCCTGGCTCAACAATAAGAATACTTTATGTATAACCCGTCCTATCTCCCCGAGGGGACTCAGGGCGGTTAACAACAGGCATCAGCCAATATTCAATGCCGTGAGAAGCTGAACAAAGACAAAAACAACCTCCCCCCCCCCTCACATCCCAAAAACAAATCCACAACTACATCAAAAATGTATTGTCGAAGGCTTTCATGGCAGAGAGGAAACAACCAGGCACATCTTAACACCTCAACAAAAGATTTTCCCAGGCTCAGCCAGGCCTTCAAATGCTAATGAAAGTGGTCAGTTGAAACATTCACACCTAGCTCCAGCAGAGAAGAGCTCTTTGCCCCACCCCAGCCATTCCACAGATATATAAACCCATTGTCCTAATTCCAACAAACCTCACTACCTCTGAGGATGCTTGCCATAGATGCAGGCGAAACGTCAGGAGAAATGCCTCTAGAACATGGCCCTATAGCCCGAAAAAAACCCACAAGAACCTACATCAAAAATAATAACACATTAGTAATATTATATGTAATATATAATAATCTATATAAATGGCCCTATAGCCCAGAAAAAAACTCACAAGAACCTACATCAAAAATAATAACACATTAGTAATATTATATGTGACATATAATAATCTATATAAGTAAATATGTAATATTCGTTGCCCTGGCTCAGCAATAATCATACTTTATGTATAAGCCGCCCTATCTCCCCGAGGGGACTCAGGGCGGTTAACAACAGGCATCAGCAAATATTCAATGCCGTGAGAAGCTGAACAAAGACAAAAACAACCCACCCACCCCTCACATCCCAAAAACAAATCCACAACTACATCAAAAATAATAACACATCAGTAATATTATATGTGATATATAATAATCTATATAAGTAAATATGTAATGTTCGTTGCCCTGGCTCAACAATAAGATTACTTTATTTATAACCCGCCCTATCTCCCCGAGGGGATTCAGGGCGGTTAACAACAGGCATCAGCAAATATTCAATGCTGTGAGAAGCTGAACAAAGACAAAAACAACCTCCCCCCTCACATGCCAAAAACAAATTCACAACTACATCAAAAATAATAACACGTTAGTAATATTATATGTGATATATAATCTATATAAATACAAATGTAATGTTCATTTATGGGATTAACACAACTCAAAAACCACTGGACGTATTGACACCAGATTTGGCCACAAGACACCTAACAACCCAATGTATGTTCTTCACTCATATAAACACTGAAAAACACAGCAGAACTCAAAAACCACTGGGGGAATTGACACCAAATTTGGCCACAAGAGACCCAACAACCCAATGTATGTCTTTCACTCATAAAAACACAGCAGAAGGGACTGAAAAAGCCCCAAAGAGCTAAATGACGAAAAGCTAAACGACAATACAGAAAAAAGGAAAGAAAGAGGGAGGGAAGGGGAGAAAAAAGAAAGAAAAGAAGGGGGGGAGAAAGAAGTAAAGGGATAAGGAATGATTTTGTCATTTGTGAGTTGTAGTTGCTGGGATTTATAGTTCACCTACAATCAAAGAGCATTCTGAACTCCACCAATGATGGAATTGGGCCAAACTTAGCACAAACCCATGACCATGGCATACAGGACTTCCATGACCAACAGAACACACACTAAGGGTTTGGTGGGCATTGACCTTGAGTTTGGGAGTTGTAGTTCACCTACATCCAGAGAGAAATGGGGCAAACTTCCCACACAGAACCCCCATGACCAACAGAAAATACTTAAGGCCATCCAGTCATAAATATAGAGAGATAGATATGATTCTCACACAGAGAGAGAGAGAGAGAGATAGTATCATAGATTTGAAAGAGACCCTTAAAGAAGGACTATGATATGTTGCATATTCCAGAGTAGGCAAACCAGACACTCTCCACATCAACACTGACAAAGAAACAACAAGAAATACTGTTTACTCACAAGCATAAAGGAATTACATATATTAGAAACCAACACTTTCTCATTACTTTATTTTCCAGATCACCAGACTGGGCCACAGTAGTGTGGCAGGGGACAGCTAGTCTATATAAATAAAAATGTAATGTTCGTTTGTGGGATTAACATAGCTCCAAAACCACTGGGGGAATTGACACCAAATTTGGCCACAAGACACCTACTAACCCAAGGAGTGACCATCATTCAAAAATTGATTTTGTCATTTGGGAGTTGCAGTTGCTGGGATTTATAGTTTACATACAAGCAAAGAGCATTCTGAACCCCACCAATGATGGAATTGAACCAAATGTGGTACACAGGACTCCCATGACCAACAAAAAACACTAGAAGGGTTTGGTAAGCATTGACCTTGAGTTTGGGAGTTGTAGTTCACCTACATACAGAGAGCACTGTGGACTCAAACAATGATGGATCTGGACCAAACTAATAATAATAATAATAATAATCTTTATACCCCGCTACCATCTCCCCAAGGGACTCAGTGCGGCTTACATGAGGCCGAGACCACAACACATCAATAATAAAACAATACAAACAGTTAAAATACATCTTATAAACAAAAATAAAATATAAGCAGTACAGTAACACAACAAGCATTTAAAACCCTTGGCTGGGCCAAATGTAAAATTAAAATTAAAAAAATTATGCTGGAAATGAGCAAGGTAGGATATAACTGGGATGGAGATTTTCAGAGGGGTTAGGGCGTGCAGATCAATCAATCCTAAATCAATAATAAAGTGCACATTCAGGGCATATTGCTGAGAAATTAATTATTTTGGAAAGGCACACTGGAACAACCACGTTTTCAGGCTCCTCCTAAAAATTGTCAGAGTTGGGGCATCCCGGATGCCCTTGGGAACTTGGCACGAATATTCCATATGCCCAAATATGAACCCAGATGGAGTTTGGGGAAAATAGACCTTGACATTTGGGAGTTGTAGTTACTGGGATTTATAGTTCACCTACAATCAAAGAGCATTCTGAACCCACAACGACAGAATTGGGGCAAATTTCCCACACAGAACCCCCATGACCAACAGAAAATACTTAAGGCCATCCAGTCCAACTCTCTTCACCAGGGCAAGAAAATGTAATCAGAGCCCTCCTGACAAAGAGCCATCCAGCCATAGATATAGATAGATAGATAGAGGACGACTAAAATGATCAAGGGTCTGGAGAACAAGCCCTATGAGGAGCGGCTTAAGGACTGGGCATGTTTAGCCTGAAGAAGAGAAGGCTGAGAGGAGATATGATAGCCATGTATAAATATGTGAGAGGAAGCCACAGGGAGGAGGGAGCAAGCTTGTTTTCTGATTCCCTGGAGACTAGGACGCAGAACAATGGTTTCAAACTACAAGAGAGGAGATTCCATCTGAACATGAGGAAGAACTTCCTGACTGTGAGAGCCGTTCAGCAGTGGAACTCTCTGCCCCGGAGTGTGGTGGAGGCTCCTTCTTTGGAAGCTTTTAAACAGAGGCTGGATGGCATCTGTCAGGGGTGATTTGAATGCAATATTCCTGCTTTTTGGCAGGGGGTTGGACTGGATGGCCCATGAGGTCTCTTCCAACTCTTTGATTCGATCGATAGGTAGGTAGGTAGGTAGGTATGATTCACACACAGAGAGACACAGCATCATAGATTTGAAAGGGACCACTAAAGAAGGACTATGATATGTTGCATATTCCAGAGTAGGCAAACCAGACACTCTCCACATCAACACTGACAAAGAAACAACAAGAAATACTGTTTACCCACAAGCATAAAGAAATTACTTATCTTAGAAACCAACACTTTCTCATTACTTTATTTTCCAGATCACCACACTGGGCCACAATAACACGTGGCAGGGGAAGGCTAGTATACAATAATAATAGTAACTTTATTCTTATATCCTATCTTCATCTGCCAAAAAGGACTTGGGGCGGCTTACATGGGACCAAGCCCAATATAAACAAAGGTTACAAATAAGCCCAATATAAACAAAGGTTACAAATGCAAGATACTCCACTTAGGCAGAAAAAAATGAAATGCAAAGATACAGAATGGGGGATGCGTGGTTCAAGAGCAGAACGTGTGAAAAAGATCTTGGAGTCCTCGTGGTCAACAAGTTAAACATGAGCCAACAATGTGATGCGGCGGTTAAAAAAAGCCAGTGGGATTTTGGCCTGCATCAATAGGAGTATAGTGTCTAGATTCAGGGAAGTAATGCTACCCCTCTATTCTGCCTTGGTCAGACCACACCTGGAATATTGTGTCCAATTCTGGGCACCACAATTGAAGAGAGACATTGACAAGCTGGAATGTGTCCAGAGGAGGGTGACTAAAATGATCAAGGGTCTGGAGAACAAGCCCTATGGGGAGCGGCTTAAAGAGCTGGACATGTTTAGCCTGAAGAAGAGAAGGCTGAAAGGAGACAGGATAGCCATGTAAACAGAGGCTGGAAGGCCATCTGTCGAGGGTGCTTTGAATGCAGTTTTCCTGCTTCTTGGTAGGCGTGGGACTGGATGGCCCATGAGGTCTCTTCCAATTCTATGATTCTATG